AAAAATAGAATTATTTTCTTTTTATTACTTAAAAGGAGAAGTGTATGATTGAAAAAAAAAATATAAAGAGTAAAGTAAGATAAAAAAGTTTGTCAATAATTTATTACCATTAGTATTCTTTTTTCTGTATGGAGGTGTTGAAAATATTTTGATTTGCTAAGTGGGTAGCGGTCAGAAAGGTCGGGAATCTATGATTTAATAATCGCAATCTGGAAAATGTAATTTTAATGATACAGCAATTTTGACCTCTTAATCTTATTTTCACTAAATGCTATGAATCTGGAACTAACATGGAGAATCGATAAGATTTTATAAATAATTTAGAAACTCGTTCACCCAAAGTTAATATTGTTCAAAAAAAATTAATCTCAATATAATTATTCACTTTGTTGGTTATAAAAGTCCCGTATCATGGGAGAATAAAAAATTTTAAAAAAATGATTGTTATAAAATTAGAATTAAATATGAATTTCAGAAAACTTATATTTTTTAATAAAAAATGTAACGAATACACATTATAATGCAAATGAACATCAGTAAATATTAAGAATAGGAGAAATTTTGTAATCTACTATATCAAATCAATTCGATGCGTATTGTTTTTAAATCAATGCAACGAACAGTGCCGGATTAAGCGTAAGCGGGGCCCTAGGCCATTCAAATTTTTAGGGCCCTTAGATGAATTTTTTTTCTCATATATTTTTTATTTATTCAAATATAAAAAAAGTATTTATATAACTTTTCATTAAGAAAGCATATTTAAAATAAAAATAAATAACAATTAAATTTTACTTTATTTTGTTAAATTAGAACTAAAAAATAATCATAACATTTTATAATCATAACATACATATATATATTTGAAATTGATTTTTTAAAAAAATCATTGTTTTTCTTAATTTTTTAAAATTTATTTTCAAAAAAACATTGTTTTTCTTAATTTTTTAAAATTTATTTTCAAAAAATCCATTTTAAGGGGGCCCCTAATCATTGGGGGCCCCAGGCCATGGCCTAGTCTGGCCTAATGGGTAATCAGGCACTGACAACGAATTATATTTTATTACAGTTCCTTTTATGTATATTATGGTTCTAATAAACAGATAGTAGAATGTATTTAACCTCTTAATTAACAATAAATTGCATTATTACAATGAGAATTGTTTCAATAAGCTGTATCTGCTCCGGCATGTCATAAATCTATTGCATAAGTGAAAAGCCTTTTTACTAATAAAATTTTTTTTATGGGTTTTTTCAAAAAATTTTACATTTTTTCAAAGTTTAAACAAATGTTGTAATACGGAAATTTTTTTAAAAAAATGACTAATCCTGTTTTAATAAGCACACGAGAGATTCGCACATTATAGTTTTTACCATTGAAACTTTTTTGTACTTTTTTCTAGGCAGAATGTGTTTTATGCGTATTTTAGTTTCGCTATTGGATCATCAATCTGCAGAACATCATCTACAGGTTTTTATTTTTTCTCTTGTACTATTTAAAATGTTATGTAATCCTTTCCATGATCTTCTTTATACATTTCATAAAGAATCACAGCAGCCATAAAAAGAGCCCGCTCTAAGGATTTTAAATTATTAGTCAGTAAATTAGTCAAAATATCAAAAATATTCGCCAATTTTCGAAAATCTTCTCCAAATGCAAATCTCAGTAATTTTTTTATGATGAATCCCCCCCCCCATAAAAAACTATTTTATGGTATAGTTTACAATATTTAATTAAAATGTTCCATATTTCATAATAAATTAAGTGTCTTAGAGCATAGAGCGTCTTATCATAATAAATTAAGTGTCTTAATTAGTTATCTCTTATATTATTTAGACCCGATTCCAACCGAAAATTACTGTAATCGAGTAAAAAATACTGATTTGTTTAGAAAAATTAATTTTGAGGATCGAGATAAATATGCATTTTCCTTTCCAGTGGAAAAAATCATTCGCCAATATCTTCACCAAAACACAATTTTATTCACGAATTTTATGATTTTATCACATTTTGCGAGGTGGTGAATGCTTAGCGCGGCCACTGCATAAGTGTAATATAAGGTGTCGCGAATTCAAGATATAGCGAAAGTCATTTCATAATCTTGGTTTTGAAAATCTTCTTAAAAGAATTGTCTTATATATAATTCAAACATATACAGTGTGATTCTAAAAAGATAGGCAAAATTTTAGGAAGTGATAGTACACACCCAAGCAAACAAATTTTATCAGAGAATGCATGGTCGAAAACAAAGCGCAAAACCGCTAGAGGGCGTCAAAGTTTATGTTCTTATATGAGGCAAAAACACACCAAGAACGATGAAGTTAAGTTATAAAAACAAATTTAATGGCATGTGATTACAATAAGTGTTCAAAACAGTGGACGGCAGCGATTATGCTCGCAGTACAACGGCGAAGAAAAGATGGACGAACATTCTAAAACACACCAGGCATATCACGAACTTTCCCTGCAGCTGCCGAAAGCTTGGAGACAAGTAACGCAGCGCAGTAACTCGCAACAGGAATGGAGCTTTCAAGTTTGCATCAAACAACTTTCCAAATGCGCCAGCACTTTTGCGTTTCGTTTTCGGCCATGCATTCTTTGATAAAAATTGTTTGCTTGGGTATGTACTATAACTTTCCTAAAATTTTACCCATCTTTTTAGAATCACCCTGTATACATAAGATCTATTTGTAAGGCCATTATGCTTTTTAATTTTGGCGAAGCTGCTAAATTATTAGAAAATTCTTCGCACTTTATAATTGTTATTTTACTATCCACTTTGCAAAATCTCCCAATGACCTTACAAATGGCAGCTATGCATACATGAGTCAATTTTATTAATTATACAAACTATTGACTTTTATTGTTATTTGTTTTTGTGCACTCTTTCTGTTAAACCATAATATGGTTCATACTTGCTCCAACCTCCAATTTAAAACCTTATTAAGGTTGCAATGTACGTTTTCGCTGCATTATGATTCAAAGTACTTATGTTATGGTTTCATGCAAAAATAGATTCTCCTTTGCCCTTGTGACATATAAAGCGTTGTCCTGTATCCCGCAGTATTAAATTTAATAGTTGCACACTGTACAGAGAACGAATTTTGGGGAAAAAGAACATCCTTTTGTATAAGCAATAGTTTCGGCAGAAATCGGCAATAATTTCTTTGTCCTTAGACCGAGAACGGAAAAAAGAGAAATGTTCCAGTGATTCAAGTCGGGAAATGTTAAAATCAATAAAAATATTTAAATAAAGCGAGTGTAAATTAACAGATAAGGCACCGTTTGCTGTAAATGCACTTTAAACTTTCTTCCACTCCGAAAACATCAAAAGTTTTCACTTAATACTTTCATCCACAGTGATCTCCGAAATGATATGTTAAATAAATCGAAAACATCCTGAGATGACAAAAATTATAGGAACCTCTTAATATCGTCCATGGTGGGAGGTTATGCTTAAAATTAGATATTCTCGGCACACTCTTGACACTGTAGATCTAGGAATGCTGAATCCCGTCACAATTTCTGAGATGGAATGTCCCATACGTCTTGCTCTAACTACCATTCCACGTTCAAAGTCTGTTGATTCTCGTTTTGTGGTAATAATTGCTCCAAAAACATTCTAAGGTGAATAAATAGAATACGAATAAAAGTTCTGAAAGTACGTTATCCGTACTTAAATTTTGTGCACAATACTACTGCCATCTATATGTTTGCATGTTGCAATCCCATGAATTTTGCCACCTCAGTATAAATCAATGTGGTACAATTAAATAAGATAACAATAAGAGTTTTCTTCTAGAAATTACAATTTTTTTGAAAAACACCACTTATAATCTTTTTTTCCACAAAGCTCTTCAATGTAGCCAATGTATAAATGCATAATGTGGTTTGAAAGAAAATTATTTCCATTAGTCTGTTAGAATGACTGGTTTCATTCATAGAAAAATGCCACAGTAAAACTCAAAAGCATTTTTAATCATTTTTATAAATGATAGATTAAGCGCATATGAAATAATAATTAGTTATTATTCAGCCAAATCCCTATGGGTGCAGACTAAATTAAGATAGTATCAGCAAAAGAAAAACAATGTAAATAAAACACAAATAATGGTACAAAAATGAACAATTTATAGTTTCCGTTCTGTAAACAAGAATCTTTCTCAGTATCGAAATATAAAATGACAGGAGGAAGTAACGAGATAAACATGCTACAATAATCGAAAAAAAGTGGTTTAACCAATAAGGGAAGGAGAACAAGTTTGAATAAGATGATAAAAGAGGGGAGATGAGAAAGAGGTAGGATGGAGCGAGATCATGAACTAAATTATGAGAATTTTTATTAAATTATTAAAAGCTTTACTAATCTATTAAAACACAAGGTATCGACAAATTTTTTAAAATACCATTTTGCAAATACGTAAAAACTAGAGACATTCGAACCAGCCATTGCACACCAGGTATAATTTCAACGGTAGCGGATAATTTCGTAGACGGGAAATTTGACTGACGCTACCGAAGCAAAGATTTTCGTTCGGTAACAATTATTACGAGGGCGAGTCAATTCTGTCCCGATCCACCGACTTGGTGACCGCTGTTCTAAATAATGGTTTACTATTTCAATTTTCATAGAATTGAGATCTGGGGATTGTGAAGGTCAACACAACAAAGTGAACTCTCTACCATGTTCCACAAGCCAATAATTTTCAATACCTGCAGTAAGGAAGGACGCATCATCCTTTAGAAAGTAAAAGTACCCTTTGGCGTTAGAATAAATTGCCAGTTTAATTGGATATCCATGGCCAGCAACAGTGCTTAGGTAAAATTACTATTGTCACGAAATAGGGATCATAAAACATGCAAACCTACAGTATTCCTCGATGTTGCTGCAACATTATGACACAATAACTTATTTGCATAAAGCTGTCACGTGGACATAATAAAGTTACCATTCAAAGTATAAATTTTTTCTAGATGTATCAAATGAATGTGAGGGGGTGAAGTTTGTTTCTAGAGGACAGTGGCAAGCGAGAAATCCAATACGTGAAATGCGAATGAATCTCCCTGTGAACCATGTTATCATCATGCACACAGCTACCAAATATTGCAGGACAGAGGTTCTCTGCGAAAGAGAGGTTCGAGCCATGCAAGACTATCACCTTGATACTAAAGGTAAGAAAAATTGAGCTTCAGACTATCTGCCGTTGAGCTTTTGAACCTATGTGATAGAAACGATTAACAAAAATGATTTATGTTCGACAGTTGATTAGAGTCACCACGATGCACAATTACTGTCTCAATCCTCCAGCTCAGGCTTTCGTGGCTGGGTGGCGCAGTTGGTTTGTCGACGGCCTTCTGAGTCCAAGTCTGCGGGTTCGATCCCCGGCCCAGACACTGGATTTTCGGGATGCAGAAAATCCTCAGCGGCCATGTCGCATGATTATGCGGCATGTAAAAGATCCCTGGAGTGCCTTATTGGCTCTTGGCACTTCCGGCAAAATTAAAAATTCTTAGTGCACTTTAGCATCGAAATAGAGTCTCGGTACTGCCATCTAGTGTGGCGGAAACTAGACGTCCAAATTAACATGGCCAACGGCATCTTACCCATTGTGGTGGTCCTGAAAGAGTGGATACCACTTCTGGAGAACGCACTAGGTCTGTTCATCGGCAAGACTGATTGTGCAGCTCATTGGAAATTTAAAAAAAAGGTCAGGCTCTCGATAAGTTCTTAGGGGACAACTAGAAATAATGTCTTCCACTCAACTTGAAGAAGACACGTATAAGCTACTTCACTTATATTGGAGAGGTTGCAGCCTTAAATACAACTTGTCTCAGAGGTTCTTGATATGGTTCAGATCCGGGCTCTGGGCAGGGCGATTCAATTAGTTAATCTTATTGTCATCATACCAATCCATGGTGAATCTCAAACATGACCGATAGAATTTTCTTTCAGGAAGTAGCATAAATACAACCTATGAAATTACTGCAGCCTAGGAAGCGCACTGTTTTTCAAAAAAGTGCAGTAGATTTCTGCATTGAGGAATTTGGGCAAAAGGATTAGGTCCATTCCCGGAGAAATGGCCCCAGACTCTAACTCCACCTCCGCCGATACACATGGGTGTTCAATTACTTATTGGTAGATAGTATATAACATTAGTTTTAATAGCATTATTTATCCTTATGTTTTGATTTTGTAGTAACGTTAAATATAAGTTTATTTTAACTGAAAAAGAATGTTTTGCTTAAAAGTAAAAAATCAATACGACTGGATACAGATCCACAAGTATTAAACATCAGGAAAATGTTATTATTTCAGAAGTATATTCTTAAAACATACAGTTTTCATCTATTAAACATTTAAGCTGTTGGGATGGTAATTTATTGTATACGAAATATCACAAACATTCTTTACATAATGAGAAATAAAATAATGTTCTAATTCTAATAAATTTTTCCCAGTCTATACGGAAATGCTTTAGATAGGCTAAACTTGATCTAACAGTCATGGATAACAATTGCAAACTCACAGCAGTTATAAAAATAACATATTATTCGCATTAAAAGCATTATTTAATATTATGACGGTGCCATCGAGAAACAGTCTTGAACGAAGACCGTTTATTTATTGTAGAAACATTTATTTTTCTTCCAAGATTTTTATTTTATAAGCTCGCGCTTAAGTTAATGTCGACGGTAACAAAAAAAAAAAAAAAAAAAAAAAAAAAAAAAAAGAAAAAAAAAGAGAGAGAAAAAGGTGACATGATCGTATAGTTAGTTTATTTACGAACAAAATGTTATTTGTTTTTGTGGAAAATATCACTTTTTTTAATGGAATAAATAATAACGCTGAATGCAAAGCGATCGTGATAGTTGGTGAGTGTTGCCTTCCGGCAAACAAAACTAATAAATATAATATTTTTAAAAATTAAATTTATAAGAGCAAAGTAAAATTGAAAGTTTCGAATGTTATATGTCTTTAAAATCGACACTTTAATTTCCAAATCGATAAAATTGTTAAAGAAATCCAATATATTTATATTTTATAACCTCTTCAGTCTTATAAATAAAATAGTCGGATAAAAGTATTAATAACAATGAAGCTGAAAAAGGCAATGTTCTTTCTATTATAAGCAAAGTTGTTTGGACTCAGGTTTAGAATAATTCTTTTTCTACGATTTAAATTTGAACAATTAAAAATTATCTACAATGTTGTTTGAACATGCTTTTTTTTGGTAATTCGATTTCTAATAAAATGTAAGGGTGAACTTCAGATTTTCACATAAAAATGTTTATCAGATGCTGGGGGGTCTTCAGATTTTCCCACGAAAATTCTTTTCGAATTTTGGTGAGTAACCAATGCAACACACATCATTACATCAGTTGTAATATTTACTGAAATATTTCGTAATAGTTAATTTTTTTCATAGATGTTAGTCTGCAGTAGGAAAGAATTTTTTTAAATTCTGGTGATAGTTTAATATTATGAAAACATTTTTTCGTAATTCCCATTAAATAAACTCTTATTTTATCAATCAAATATGCATAGCACTACGCTTAAATTCAATGATATCTGAAAGCGAGGTATATTCTGTTTATATGTTACGACTGCATCTTTGTTACTGTAACTATTCAAAAAAAAATTTTTTTTTACTAATTAATTCTCATTTACTTATTTTTTTAAATTTTTTTTATGGTTTCTAAGGTACATTGATACTTAAACATAATTTAATTAATTTTTTTAAGTTAGTTTATAATCTGTTACTACTTAGGTTAATTATAGCCTGTTACGTTAATTGTAGCCTGTTAATATGGAATCGCTTATTATCTTAGTGGTATTTTTTTAAGCTAATTGTAATCTGTTACTACTTAGGTTAATTATAGCCTGTTATGTTAATTGTAACCTGCTAATATGGAATCGCTTATTATCTTAGTGGTAAAGATTTTATTTAAGGTTTCTTTGATTTGGCCTACAATTTCTTGGTTGGAGGAGATGGAAGAGTCTATGAAGCAAGAGGTTGGAATATAATTGAATCAGCTGCGCCCAACTATAATTTCAATTCACATGGTATAGCCTTCATTGGAAATTTTTCGCTTAATATTCCATCTAAATCAATGCTAGACGTCGCTCTTCGATTAATTGATTGCGGTGTACAAAAGGTAAAAATAATTTTATGTTTATTTATTTCAAAGTGTTTAAATTTGATTGATGATACATAATCGTAATACAAGTGAATAAATCATAACTTCTATTCATTGTGGCATTCGGTTAGTTGAATATGAATAGATGAAAAACATTTTTCTATTTTGTTCCGCGTTGAATCTCTTATTTTTCATCTAAAACTAAATGTTTTGTAATTTCAAAAAAAATAAATTTTTTTTCTTCAACCTTAGCTATCAATTTTACAAAATTCAATTTATTCTCTAACCATACACATCTTCATAATATACTTAAAAGTATTGGTGTATAGTTGTCTCCATTTCTGGCATTGAGATAAACTAAATATATTTTTCAGTGTCGGATTGTAGAGCAAAAAATATTAGAAAATTGACAAAATAGCAATCGTTTGAAAGAATTAATGCTAGAATATTACTAAAAATGAGCTTGCTTTTTACACGAAATGTTTTTACAATGATACCACAAATTAATTCTAATGCCCATGACAATATGTGATGTCAGTAAATAAAAAAAATAATAAATAAGCAAAAAATAAATAAATAAACAAATAAAACTATAACATTTAAAAAGTAAATAAAACTATAAAATTTAAAAAGTAAATAAAACTATAACATTTAAAAAGTAAATAAAACTACAGCATTTAAAAAGTAAATAAAAAATATGACTATATGCACTAGAAAATAGTACAGTTTACTTCGTCAACATATATGGTGGCAACTAGGGGCTGAATGTTTTTTACACTGTACTTAGATAGTTGTACACGTAGTTTTGATAAAACTACGCGAGCTTGTTTTTCTCAGTAACTTTTTTTGTCATGCGGAATATTTTTTCACACGTTATCATAAAGGTTTCGCTGGGGAAAAATTTTTTGTTTTGTTTTCTATTGCATGAGACTGTGGCGTAACTACCACTACAAATATTAAATACCAAATCACTAATATATAAGACATGTTAACTCGATTCTATCTTGAGGTACCTTTTAATAGATGAAGGTTGACATAGTCGATAATTAGTTCTCCTTCATGGGTGACCTGCGAATGTGATATGAAATTGCCAAAATTCATAGATGAAGGTTGACATAGTCGATAATTAATTCCCCACAAGACTTTCTAATGGATCTTGGGATACTTTCACAGCGCTGATTTCAAATCTGCTATCGGTTTCTCTCCGAGTTACAGTGCTTTTATACCATAACATTTCCATTTTATTTTTTGTCAAAATGTACAAGTTTAACAATGTTATATATAACGGGGGAGGGTCACGAAAATGTTGCGGCAAACGCCTAGGGAATTTAAGGCATACCATCAGGATTAAAATTGCTTAGGAAGCCATGCCCGGAAATGTCATACACCACTAAGGGCGTTTCCTATTTAGAACTGTTTCTTCGTGTGCTTCAGAAAAGGGTATGATAGGGGTGCCACGAGCGACGACATGGGTTCCTATGCAATTTAAATCCTGATAATGTGCCCTAATTCCCCTAGAACTTAGTTGCAACATTTACACGACCCTCTGTCATATGTAACGTTTTTAAACTTGTACACTTCGACAAAAAATAAAACTAAAACTGTTATTTTAATGAAAATTTGCAGCTTTAGGAGAAAAACTGTTTTCAGATTTGTCAATCTGAACAGAATTAGGCAAGATCAAGTATTTGTATAAATTCAGCAGAAAATTTGTTCCCGGAGTTATACTTTAGAGTTCACAAATAAAAATCGTCTTTCAGTTTTATCGTCTTTCAGTTTTATCATTTATCATTAAAAAACTAAAAATTAGGCGGCTCTTTTTTAAAAAAAGTGTATAGTTTTTTGCTTCCTTAGATCTATCCATTAAGCTTCCATTCATTAAGCTTTTGCAATCTCAATCGAGATCCTTTTTGTTCGTCACAGGTCTGTGTGGCATAAAAGTGTGAACGAATATTTATGCTCTGTTAAAGTATTTTCTGATGTTTTCCCTTGTGAATTGATTTTTTTTATTAAATAGTGAGTTTTATTAATTTTATATAGGGATACATTACACCTGGTCGAGCAATTCATGGACACAGAGACTGTAGATGCACAGATTCTCCTGGAGAAAATCTGTATGAGGTGATAAAACATTGGAAAAATTTCAAAGGTGGACGATTACCCATGTACTTCTGCGATAAGTGGTTATGAAGAAATAAACTGAATACGATCAGGGAAGTTCTGGCCCAGGAGGTTATGGACCTGGAGGATCAGGACCCGGAGATGTTGTTCTATATTATCATGAACAATAAAACGAGCAATACTTAATGAATAGTGTAGGAATTTACTCTGAAGAGGCAAAAAAACTGGTATACCTGCCTAATATCGTGCAGGGCCCTCACGAGCAAGCAGAAGTGCCGCAACACGACGTGGCATGGATTCGATCAATGTTTGAAGCAGTGCTGGAGATACTTGACACCATGAATCCTGCAGGGCTGTCCATAAACCAGTGGAAGTAAGAGGGGGTGGGGATATCTTCTGAACATCACGTTGCAAGGCATCCCAAATATATTCAATAATGTTCATGTCAGTGGGTTTTGGTGGCCAGCGGAAGTGTCTAAATTCAGAGGAGAGCTCTTGGATCCACTCCCAGACATGAACATTATTGAATATATTTGGGATGCCTTGCAACGTGATGTTCAGAAGATATCCCCACCCCCTCTTACTTCCACTGGTTTATGGACAGCCCTGCAGGATTCATGGTGTCAAGTATCTCCAGCACTGCTTCAAACATTGATCGAATCCATGCCACGTCGTGTTGCGGCACTTCTGCTTGCTCGTGAGGGGCCTGCACGATATTAGGCAGGTATACCAGTTTTTTTGGCTCTTCAGTGTATTATGGATCCTAGCAATGAGGTTTCAAAGTTTGTAATTTAAAATAAATATGTGTTGTTGTTATTGCGTCATTATTGTAGTCATAAAAATTTCTCCAAGTTTAAAATGATAGAAGAAAAAAATATTAGTTTGCTCACGGTGAAAATTTTTTTTTTATGTTGCATTTATGCAAATACTTGATTTTGCCTGATTCGGGTGTGGGGATTTATAATATGAAATTAATTTTACTAAAACTACAGATTTTTTTAAACATGACATTTTTAATCTATTTTTGTCTAAATGTGTTAGATTAAAAACGTTATATGTAACAGAGGGTCATGTTAATGATGCGACAACTATGAGAGTTAGGGCACGTCATTATGATTAAAATTTCACAGAAACCCATATCTAGAACTATAGTTATACGTGGCTAGGGAACACTTTCTCATTATGACCCGTTTAGAAGCACTCGAATTAACAATTCATAATAGGGGGAGCGCCCCTAGTGCCGTAGGTCGTCATTTCGGAGTTGATCCTCTTGAAATTCAATCCTAATGAATTGCCCTAACTCCTTTAGAAGTTTCTCTCAACGTTTATGCGAACCCCTATTATATTAAAATAGTGCATTTCCACAAAAATAGATTGAAAATGTAATTTTCAAAAAAAAAAAAAAAAAAAAAAAAAAAAAAAAAAAAAACTGTAGCTCGGACGGAGAAAACCGATTTGCACAGATTTAAAATTAGTGACAGGAAAATATTGAAGATCCGTTGCAAAATGTCCCACAACGGGAAAAAAAATGTACCCGCAGTGTAATCGAACAGGATTTTTTTAATCAAATTATTGCTAAATTTTCCTCCCAAATTCCAAAAGTTAACAGCATTTTAAATAATAATTATTCATTGTGGAAGATTTTCATGCTCATTCCCTTAATAAAAAGTACGTAAAAATTTTAGAAATCACATCGAGATTTCAACCGGGTTTCATAGTCACTTTTACATGAGGAACCAAAATTATCGTTTTGTTTTATTTTCAGTGCGCAAAAAAAAAAAAAAAAAAAAAAAAAAAAAAAAAAAAAAAAAAAAAAAAAAAAAATAGATGGGCCACCCATAAAAGAAGGTATACAGTTTCTTAAAACATTTTAAAGAGTGAAATTTTAAATTGCAAATTAAAAAATTGGAGCGAAATCGGGCGAATAGATATAACTTTTATAAAACTCAAATTTTAAGAAACTATTTTATAGATTTTGCTTAAATTTTGCCTTTTACCACATAAAATTGCATTTTTTAAAATGATGTTAAATTGTGTATCCTACAATTCAAAAGTTCTTCGACCTATTAACAAATAAAACAATACATAATAATAATTATTTACTAGCAATTATATTTTGCATGAGATTATCTTTGGATAAAAGAATTTCAAAATTCTGTACAAAATTTTTTAAATTCGTCTAGAAGTTCTTGAAGTATAGTGAAATATACAAAATATAAAATTAACATTAAGGGGCTTAAGATTTGGTCTGCTCTTCAGACCAAACTATTAGGACCATATCTCAGGTTGCTGTTCTCAGATTGCGGTTACTCTCGATGCATAATCATAAATCCGAATTCATCGAATTTTTTGTTGTTGTTGCCCTTTTACATTAAATGTCTCTTAAATTGGGTGATAAAAGACATAACTCCACGCCAAGCGTACGTAGATTATAGACATATCAAAGCTAGCGATGGATTTGCTTTGATTTTAATTTAGTTCTTTGAATGATGCTAAGATTAAGAATCTCTTGAGGTGTAGGTTTTTGTTGCATACAATTAAGCTATAAAACTACTTGTTTGAAAAAGTTGTTTATTCAGAGAAAGTATGTTTTTATGTGTGATTTCGTAACTTAAAATATCTTCTGCACTAATTAATTAGCATATTTCAGGTCACCCCTTGGAACAATTAAGATTGAGAACACGTGAAGATCCCTATAAGAGCAAAAGCTGTTCAGGGTGGCCCACTTTTTATTTTGTGCCCTGTAAAAGGTTTTCATAAAGATAAAATTGAAATTCGAGAAGTTCTTTTCCTGCATAAGCGGAACTATTTCTAAAACTGTGGGGAAACAGATTAGTTCCTTTGAAAGAGGCCCTTTGCTATAAGCTCTGAGAGCCTCAATCGCAGTTCTCTCCTCGCCTCTACTTCCGCCCCTGGAAATCACATTTTTCATTATGATTTAAGAGCCTATGGAAACAAGCACTTCTAAAAATGTTTAACAATTGAGAGAAAATAAATTTAGAAAAAAAAATTACTATTTTACTTAAGCTTGAAAAAAAAAAACATGCCTCTTGTTGGCGCCACGCTGTAGCCAAGTAATACAGTAAGTTGTTATCAGTGTTATCTCTTACTAAACGTTTTTATTTATTTTTTATTTTTTAATTTCGTTTTTCGAATTGTTGATTTTATGTAAGTATTGACTATGATCCATAATATTCCTTGATTTAATAAAAATAATTTTACTTTTAAGAGATTTAGTATTTTTTTATAAAATGGAATATAATTCTTCGGAAAAGTTTTGAATTTTATAAGAAGTTTTTTTTAAAATTAAACTTAACTAAAAGGAAATTTATTTAATACTCTAGTTCCTTTTTAAAAATGGATTCTAGATTATATATTTTTATATCAGATAAGGTGTGATCCTAAGTTTCAAAAGTTTTACTGTCTAATTAGGAGATCTAGAGTTATTAATAAAATGAGGGTCAAATATTACAATTTTATAAAAGTTCCAGTTGATTCAATCAAGTTAGATAGACATTTAATTATTGTTTTTTTTAATTGTTTTTTGTGAAGTTACTCATGTCAGTCGAATTATATATTCTTTTTTTGGTAATCCTTACATTTACAGAGCAACATCTTAGCTTTTTATAGCTAATAAGAGTTAATTAGAATGATGATAAGATATGAAAGAAAGGGTAACGCAATTAGATTTAGTATATATGTACTTACAAACAAAGTCACCTGATGTCGATGTAGAAGCTACTTGTTTCTTTGAAGAAAAAAAGCATAATGCTAAGGAATGGGCGTTAAATAAAAAAGAGATTTAAAGGTTTTTTTTTACACAAGGAGAAAACTGTGAAAAAACAATAATGGTGTATGCATTTTGATTTTTTTTACAGCAGTATTTTCAAATAGAAAAAAATGAACTGATAAATAAATAGACAAATCATAGTTTCAGGAAAACATAGTTTTCTCAAGCATAAGAATGCGAAAATATATACTATACGTACTGTGTTCTGCGAGAACTGATAGTCAAATTAAATAATGCCATCTGACACTCGACATAACCTTTGGCTGCTTTATGTCCGATTCATGACAAATACCGCCAATTTGACTAATGATCTGTAAGAAAAGAATAGACAATTTAGAGAGATCTGATAGTTAACGTTAAACATAATGGTAAACGGCAAACCATTATGTTTACTTCTACCAACAGTTCTGGCTAAACAGAGAATAATATTTTTAAACTGCTGATACTTGATGTCTCAAAACAAGAGACGGTATGAACAATCAACTAAAGAAAAATGGAAAGAGATAGAAGTTGCTGAGCTCTGCTTATGAAACCAACCCTTTATTCCCCTTAAATGTCAATACTAGTTTCTTAGTTCATCAAAAGCTTGCGCTGTTTACTGAAAAATATAAAATTATAAAATGCTTTTTGCTGATCATTTCAATTGCAATATTTCCGCAGATATTGCCCTCAGACTTGCTACTAAAAGTTGTTACTTTAAATTTATAATTTTTCTCATCAAACAGTGTCATCGAATTTTTATTCTTTGAAAACCGTGATCTTTTTTGGGACAGTGTATTATGATACAAAGTATTATAATGGATAGCTTGGAATTTAAAAGAGACTCAGGAGAAAACGCGTATTATTAAGCAACTGCAATAAAGTCACTTTGATTTTATGTGACATAATTGATTTTCTTCTCATTACGATATATTTTATTATTCTAAAGGGGAAAAGACACATTTTTTTAGATATGAGTGCATTTTTATATGTTAAAAAAATAGTTTTCCTTTTTGTTTTGTAAAATTTTGAAAGATACAGTTTAGTTTAAAGGATGTGTAAAATATAAATTATGAGTTATGTTTCTTATTTCATTTTTATTTTAGTATGAAAATGAGTCACGAAGTATTCTAAACATTATAATTTTGTTCATTGCTATCGCACTAACAAGTTTTTGTTTCTTTTAATTCAGATTGGATATGCTATGTGTGCATTTTATCTTAGTTATTGGTGCAACTATTTCCGGAACATCATCTAAAGGTTTAAAAAATTGTTTATTACTCTTTCTATAGCTTTAAATATTACATCATATGCTGTGTTTGGAGTATCGGGCAAATATACACCGGGCAATGGCACTTGACCTTAAAAAAGTATCAGTGTAGGGTATACTGGGAAAATGTGTACCGGGCTGTGGCACTGAACCTTAAAAAAATATCCAGGCAAATGTATACCGGGAAGTGGCACTTGACCTTAAAAAAACACCAGCGTAGGGAATACCGGGCAATGGCACATCACCTTGAAAAAAAATATCAGTGTAGGGTATACCGGGCAAATGTATACCGGGCAGTGGCATTAGACCTAGTATATATTTCGGAGATTTACCAAAGGTGTAGTCATACTAGGTCTAGTTATGTGCCATTGCCCGGTATATCCTACACTGATGTTTTTTTAAGGTCAAGTGCCATTGCCCGGAATATATTTTCCCGGTATACCCTACACTGATGTTTTTTTAATGTCAAGTGCCATTGCCTGGTATATATTTGCCCGATACTCCAAACACTGATGTTTCTCCTAATCTATCGTCAGTAACTATTAAAATATCAAATAAATGTAATTATATCCACGAATAAATTAATATCAAATCGGATGTAATGAATATTTCGGACATTCACCAAAGCGACTTTGTGATTGTCAACATTTACCGGTGAAAGTCAATAACCACCGATTTCGGTCATTCACAGTAGCATGCACATCATTTACATAATAACCTCATCAGGACGTTTATTTCATCCTATTAAATACGGTGATATGATCTCAGATCTCGGGGTTTTCAATCATAACAAACGCCTTTTAACATAAAATATATTTAGTAACAAGAAGGATGATGATAATGGTACAGTGTCATGGAGGAAACTGATTAGAAACTAACTGATTTTACATTGCTGCGCAGAGCGCCATCTATTGAGTTATAGAAATTATAATTAGTATGGAGAAATAATATTAACACATCCTTTGCCTAAATAGCATCCGGCATTCTATGCATGCAGGTGCTTCATACTTTACCGGTAACATATATATATATATATATAAATTAAAAAACGATAATTTATGCATCGAGTATAACATATTAAGTAATAATCAATTTTTTAGATTAAAAGTTTAGGAACAAAAATCAGATGACTCAGCTGGGATTAAATTCGAAGGCGTATAGCTCGACCGTAAAGCCATGAATTCATGGAAGCTAAAAAGTATTTGTCATTTTATAAGTAAATGAAATGAAACTTTACTAGGGCATATTTTACTTCAAAGGCAGCAAAAGCGGCAAATTTTTACCTTATCCAAGGTTTTCAATCAGGCTACTTGTTTCAAGCCTAATTTCGTTTAAATTCACTTTTACAGATGTACATTGAGCAAAATAAAAAACGGAGCACTCTAAATAACTTTTGATGTAATGCGCGGATTTTCAGGTTCTAGGATTCAATCTTAATGTTTTAAAGGCGTGACCTGAAATATGCTAATTAATTAGGGCAGACGATACTTTTAAATTACAAAGTTGGACATAAAAAAGTATTTTCTCTGAATAAATATAATTTTTTTATTCTGACCCCTGAAATACGGGAGTAGCAGCAATCTGGGAAATATGCTCCCAATAGTTTGGTCAGGAGAGCGATTCAAAGTTTGGATCCCTTAATGCTAATTTTACTTTATCCGTAATACGCTATATATTGAGAATTTTTTAAGCGAAGCAAAAAAAATTTTGCACGCAACTTTAAAGTTCGTTTATTCAAAGAAATGCCATGCAAATTTTAATTTTATTAAATATTTATTAATTTTTATTATTTCGTTTAATAGTCGAAAAAATTTTGAATTGCAATGTATCGTCTACCCTAATGCTTTTACATCCTCTTAAAGAATGCATTTTTAACTGTAAAAATACAAAATTTGGAAACTGAAAGATCAAATTTTAAAAAATTCGTATATTTAAATGTTATGTTTCCCAGATTATCGCTACTCCCTATATATCAGTGTTTAGAAATCCGAATCCGTCGTAAAAAAGGTATGTTTATTCAGAGAAAATGCGTGTTTCCATCTGATTCCGTAACTTCAAATAATGTCTACATTATTTAATTACCATGTTCGAGGACACCTCCTCGAGTCATTAAAATCGATTTCTAGAACGTGAAGATCCGATTATTAAATCAAAAGTTATTTAGGACGGTGCGTTTTTTTTTTTTGGCGTTTTATACAATTCCCTTGATAGTTAAATTTCCCAAAAAATTTTTAACTTAAAAACTTTTCTCAAAGACTTTTATATGGAAAAATAATTTTTGCAATCGACTTTTTCAATTTGACATTACTTTCTTGTCTTGTCTAGAAATATCCTATGATTGTGAGGGTGTAGATATAGCGACGAGGAAAGATTGGGAAGCTCGAAATGCTATGCGTGAAAGGGAGATGAGTCTTCCTGTTAACCATGTGATAATTTTGCACACCGATACAACATTTTGCATGAAGGACTGGCACTGTGTGAGAGAAGTACAGACTATGCAAAATTACTGGTTGGACGAAAAAGGTAAAAATAAATTATTTGCTTAAAGTAAGAAGGAATTATTGCTATTTATTTATGCAAGTATGAGTAAATTATTTATGCATTTTATGATTATTTATGCATTTTGCTTTGTATTTGATCATAAATGTAACTAAAACAAACCCTAGTTGAAAGTAAGAGGACATTATTGCTGTTGATTTGAACAGCATGAGTAAATTATTGACGCATTTTGCTACATTGCTAATTGCTGTATTTGATCACAAATTTAACTAAAACGAACCTTAAGTGTGCAGTAGTAGTACTTTATTTTACGTCGCACTGGAGCTACACAATGTATTAAAGCCGACTGTTTGGGAAACATTCCTGAGGATGATACGAAAACATACTTGATCCTATGGTATGGGGGTGGCTCCCCCGGTACGTTGGCTTAGAAGATAACATAATTTATTTGTATTTGTTACGATTCATTTGTTTCAACAAGGGTGAAATAACCGTGTATTTAATTGAAGAGCCGTGATGACTCAGGGGATAGAGCATTCGTCTTCCAATGAGGTGAACCGGGTTCGAATCCCAGCGATGGTTAATTGATGCATATTCGGCATCCGAATTGCACCGACCACAGTGCTGACGTAAAATATACTCAGTGATAGACGGATTATGGGTTTGAGTCCCCTTGCCGTCAATCTGACCGTGGGAGGGTTTCGTGGTTTTCCTCTCCATGTAACGCAAATGCGGGTTAGTTCCTTCTCCCAATGCATGTTCCAGGAGTTTCATTGTCTTCTGGATTGGGTTCAAAATTACAAGGCTGCGGGGTTGAGTATTAATAGTCGTAAACCCTAAAATCAGGTCGGCTGTTCGACGATGGTTATAAAATATTAAAACAATATATATATTTAATAGAAACTGTGGCGATTATATAAAGCTTTCAAACTCATCCATCAAGAATATGCGCACAAAAAAATAAATGGAACACCCTGATAATCTTTTTTATCTAGTGATCGGATTTTCACTCACTAGGACTCAATCTTAATGGTCTGAGAGGGTGGTCTCAAATATGCTAAGTTACTCGTGCAGGCGATATTTTTCGATACGAAACGTACTTTCTTTCAATAAACATACTTTTTATTGTTGATGGATTTGGATTCTGACCTTTAAAATATAGGAAACAGCCACAATCTAGGAAATATGTTTTCAATAGGTTGGTCAGGAAAGCGGTCTAACTTTTGGACTTCTAAATGTTAATTTCACTTGCGTATTTTACCATTTCTCAAGAAATTTTTAAGCGAATTAAAAATTTTTTGCACACAATTGGAGAGAATTAATCAATATATAATTTTTGTAAATATGCACAGCATTTGGGAACTCGCACCTTAAAATTTCAAATATGCAGATAAAAAAATTATGAATAAAGGAATGAATTATAGAGTTGTATTTAAATGACCTGGGCCAAGGGGTGACCTTGATCCAAACCATCTATGACTTAAATTTATCTAAGGAGAAAACAAACAAGGAAAATTTGTTAAAAAAACAAGTGGTTTACAGGCAAGTTAAACAATGTTAAAGGAAATAAGCAAACAGTTAGTAGGTTGAAATAAATTAAAAACAAATTATTTTTAATGATAATTAACCTATTAAACAATCTTAAGTGTGACACACCTGTTCCATGCCATCAATTTATTTTTTATTAAACTTGAAGTTGCAAATCCTTTAGTTGATTGTAATCAAATCAGTCCTGATGTGGGATCTACTGAAAATGTTAAAAACGGCTTACTGGAGATAGTTCTTCAGTAAAAGTCTCTTCCTCCATTGGTCAGTTGAAAATTAACTCGATCATCATCCCCCAGAACATAAGTTGTTGTGTCCCCCTGGAGAAGGAAAGCCTAGACCAGGTCCAGAAGGCCCCGTCGCGTCAGTTCCCCATATATATGTCCCGATCAATCATCAGCTGCCAGAACATAAGTCGGAACGAGTAACAAATTATAAAAATGCTTCTGGAGAATATTTAAAATGTCATGCTGGTTAGTAAATTTATTAAAATATAAAATAGAATACATATACTTTATGAAAATAGTTTCGATGAAAAGTCAATTGTTTTGACATATTTTAAACTAGCTGTCGGTAGGTAGGCACTTCATTTACGACGCACTAGAGCAGCACAATGGGCTATTGGCCACTGACTGGGAAACATTCCTGTGGATGATCCAATGACATGCCATCACAATTTTGATCCACTGCAGAGGGGATGACTCGCCTGCTTTCGCACCTCTACGACCTGAGAGCGAAGTCGAGCTCTTTACGGTAGAACAGTTTAACGAGGACCGATGCAGCGCACCCTCGGTCCCCACTCATTTTGACCAAAGTGGTCACCCACCCGCTTACTGACAGCAGGCAGTGATGCTTGACTTCGATGTTCTACTGGGAACCGTGTCTTTGCAATCATCCCACTGCGGGACAGCTAGTTGTCGGAGGTTCAACCTCTCATAAGTTAACCCGTAAGAATGGGTCATTAAGGTCAACTAATCATAATTCCAAATCGAACGGCATGATGATGACATTGCACACCAGGTGCCTTTACTTCCCTGACAAACTGGTACCTTTAGACAGCTAGGTAAGTTTCAAGCTGTCACCAGTATTATCAGAGATATTTAAACGAAAAATATAACGTATGCAAAATATAATAATGTAACTAAATTATGTTTTAAATTTTTTTTCATCAAATCAAAAGTATTCCTCAACTTTTGCATTACTTTTATTGTAGACGTCAAAGCATTTTAAAGGCCCAAACTTACTTAAGTATGTTTAAGGAAGTTTTCATTGCTATTTTAGCAAATTAATTGTAGCATTATAATTAATTGATATGCAAAAGATGTTAATTCGCATTACATTTTTTATGAAAAATAAAATAAGCAAATACTACAAAATAATAAGTAAAAAAAACAAGTAGTATACTTTGACGACCATCTTGGGTCACCTTTTAAATTTATCTCGTTCAATATAGAAACTTAAATGGTAACCAAGCCGAATACAGCAACTGTATTTTAATATTCTAAATCTGTAACTCCTTCTTAAATAACCTCATGTTTAATGAACCTGCATTTGAATGGTCCTATTGTAAGGAACCATTTACTATTAAACATCTTTTGACCCAGTGCAACAAATTGTGAATTCAGGGACAACGCCATTTCGGTAACTTTAATCCATCATTAAGTTCCTTAATTGGTGATAGCTCTCATTATAACATACTTTTTTACCTCAAAAGGACATTGGTGTTTATACATCAATCTAGCTTTTAACTCACAACCTAGCTGTTTTATAAAAACCAAGTTGTAGGTTCGATATGGTCGCCTCCGGCTCCTGCGCCAATAACTCAAACAACTATTAAACTAAAAACAAAAAACTCCTCAGTATAGTTTGAAACAATATATTAACAAAATTTTCTCTAGTCTAGCTGTTGCCTGCGGCTTTGACAGTGCGGAGGCATTTTCATTTTTTTACTATTTTCAAGAGATTGTCAAAATTTCTTAAATATTAGATTTCAATAATGATTTAAAATCAGTCGGCAGCTATTAAAATCATGCAAACTACCATAAGCATGGAGTTGGGGATATTTCAGCATATTAGGTGGCAGAAGTATTAAAATTATTTCCATCTTTGTCGTGAGAAAACTCATTCCAGTGCTCCATTACGTGCTGTACTACTTCCTCAAGCACCTCTTGATCTTAAGACAGCTAGCTCTTAATAAGTGCTTAACGTATAACTAACTATTTAACACTACTTAAAATATTGCAGAAGAAAATGGAACAAAGTGACTAATAACTACAGTGTTGCCAATAGAGAGAGAAATACCCGAGTTTATGATGCTACATAAAAGAAACATTATTTTATGTTTTCTGTTTTTTTCTCAGTACACATGAATTTGCTAAATTATTTTAACAAACCACTTTTATCTATATCGTAAAATGTTTTATTTAAGGCTTATGGGATCTTGGCTACAATTTCTTGATTAGTGGAAATGGAAGAGTTTACGAAGTAAGAGGTTGGAACTTAACTGGAGCTCATGTTCCCAATTATAATACCAACTCATATGGCATAGCCTTCATTGGTGATTTTGAGAAAGACATTCCAACCAAATCAATGTTAAATTCCGCTCTTCAGTTGATTGATTGCGGTGTGAAGAGGGTATGGATTTTGAACTTTTTTTATATGTATTTTTTAAAAGATTTTAACTTTTGCTTCATCGTAGCAGACGCACCTAGGGAAAGAAACAGGCTGCGACTTACAAGAAAGTTAAATGTATTTATATTAATCAAAAAAGTTTTTTAAAGAAACATAGTTCTCCAAAAAACGATTCTCGTTGCTTTTTGGTGAATGTTTTATAATTATGGACTTTAAAACTTTCAATTGCTAATAAAAGAAAAAAAAAACTCTTCATATATTTCGAGTGTACTATTGTAAAAGTTTATTGTAACAACAAATGTTGCATATTGTTTACTTAACAAATTCCTCCTTCAATTGACAGATAAAAAAATATGTCTATTGCAGCTTCACATTATTTAAATACTTTTCGTTGTTTAGAACTTTCAAGCATTTTCATCAGTATCCTAATAAATATAAACTATCACTCTGGGGATCCACTTCCTGCTCGCTACGCTCATCAACTCCCGGCATAATTACTTCACAATTATCGTAGAAACTTCAAGTTCTATTAACAAATCTCCGATTAATTGAGCACAAACACTTTACTCTCAAATACAAATTACCTCATTACATTTTATTTTATAACCGTCGTTAAACATCTGCTCAGAGTTTACGAGACTACCAATGTTCAACTCCGTAGCCTTGTAATTTCGCTCCTAATTCAGACGACAAGGAGACTTCTGGATCAAGTATTGGGAGAAACTTGCCTCCGTGGAGGACTTTTTTAATGGAACTAAACTTGACCATAACTTTTTTAATGGGACTTTCGAGAGTAAAACCACGAAAACCTCCCACGGTTAGCTTGAAGGCAAGGAGACTCATTCGTCAAACTCATGATATGTTTGCCACTGAGGGTATTTTATGTCAGCACTGTTGTTGGGGCGATACAGATGCATAGTTCTACCAGCCATTGAACCCAGCTCGCCTCAGTGGGATGCGAAAGCTTTATTTCGTTTATCTCATTCGATATAATGACCACTTATTTGTGATGAATAATTCCATTAATCATTGATGTAAAATTCCATTTTGCAAAATAAAAACGGCATTAGTCGGATATTCAATCCGGTTTTGAAGCGTGGAGGAGCGTTGTCAATTTCACAATCATGAAACAAATCCAGCAGGATACCAACAACTTTTTCTAAGTGCGTTATATTTAAAATATAAAACACTTGATGTAAGGCAATTTTGAGAAAAATAAAATGCTTAGTTTCTTAGTTACAGAAATTTTGTACTAAAAATAATCGTCGCTATTGAATTTTCATACTCTTCTTTGATCCGACAATTTCGCTTTTTATGCCAGATATACCGTGAAATAATGGCAAAGTGGCATACAGGTACTGCATGCAAATAATAATGCATTATGTGCATAATTTTAAATAAATAATATCCTTTTCTTCAAAACAATGAGAAGACAATTTTCCTAATTGTTGAAACAATGAAAAAATTTAACTTGCAAGTTTTTTCCAAGCAAACTAATTTTAAATTTTAAATGAACTTTGAAATCGGTGCTAAAATTTTCTCTTGCTGTTTAATTTTCAAGCTCCCAGCACAAACTGTTTTGGAGTAATGAGAGAAAGATAGATGCACACATTAACTTTTCATTTTACGAATGATTTTAAATATAATTCAATAAGAATTTTCGTTTTTAGGGTTATCTGACTCCTGCTCGAGAAATACATGGACATAGAGATTGCATTTGCACAGAATCTCCTGGAAAAAACCTTTACAATGTTATAAAATATTGGAAACATTTCAAAGGTGGACGATTACCCATGTATGTCTGTTAGTTGAAGAAAAGTTAGTTGACTAAGAGAAGCTTTGAACATAAATCTTACTTAAATGTTTAGATTTCTTAAAAGTAAAAATTGAGAACTGGTTTGATTTTGAGAGGTTATTTTAAAGAAAACTATACATTGTATTAATATTTTGATTGTTTTCATATTTTATACATTGTATTCCTATTCAGTTGATTTGAAAATATTTTTCTCTTTTTAATAATTTTTTATTGCTTGAAATAACTCTTTCATTTGAATCTTTTTCTAAAGGAAATTTTAATGGCGTAGTATAAAATCCGATATTTGGAACAAGAATTTAACTTGGGGGACAAAATTTTACATTTTACACCTCCTAGTTAGATTTTTTTTTTTTGACAGAATATATGGTTAATTAAGGAGTAAGTGATTTATGGTTAAAAATTTTTATTATTATTTACAAACTAACTACAAATATCCCAAAAAGGTTTCTTTTAAACTAATATTTTGATAAATCAAAACTTAACTTTGTCCATAGCTTTCTTTGTCAAAATTTTCAAAAGTCTGTTATTATGCTTTTTTTATTTTTATTTTTTTTATCCGTCGTTGAACAGCCGATCCAATTTTGGGTTTAAGGCTACTAATGTTCAACTCCGTAGCCTTGTAAGTTTGAACCAATCCAGAAGAGAAGAAAGCTCCTGGATCAGTACCCCCAGAGGTAATGATTTGTTATGGGAACATGGAGGACTTTGCAACTCGACAGATTTAACGTGCATCAGTCACCATTAACTACACGGGGAGTCTTCGGCCGGGGGGGGGGATCGAGTTATTATGTTTTTGCCTGAACTATAAATTCTTGTTTTTTGCCGGATCTGGTGTCGTAAAATAGGCAAATAGTAAAAAATTACTTACTTAGAATAGTGGCTCGTGTTGGAATTTTGAGAAACATTGGTTCTCTTAAGTAGCACACAAATTAAACCAATTGGAGAACATCTACAGTGCGCAAAAAAAATTACGGGTCAGCCTGATTAACTTTTGATCTAATGGTCGAATATTCTCATTTTAGGACTCAATCGTATGATTTGAGAGCATGATCTCAAATATGCTAATTGATCAGTGCTGACTATATCTAAAGTTTCGAAATCAGGCCGCAAAACGTACTTTCTCTGAATAAACATATATTTTTTTGGTGTTGTCAGATTCGAATTTCTGACCTCCAAAATATAGGGGGTAATTGAAATCAGGGAAAAATGGTACCAATAGTTTGGAGAGTTGTCTAAAGTATTTTATCTTCGGGGGGGGGGGGGTTNGGGGGGTTATTACTGTCATATTTTTTCTTTTCTTTTTTGTCTAGATACGTGTACTAAAAATTCTTGCCCTAGCAAAAAATAAAGATTCAGCACGGTAAGTAGCACTGTTCTGTTTCGTATCGATAACTCATCCTCGCTGGGTAAAACCGGAAATTCCAGGTCCGGCGCTCCCTCTGCCAGATGTGGGTCAATGCTTAGCCCACGACAGCTGCAGCGCAGTAGAGGAAGGAGATAGATACATCCAAGGCTTTGCAAAGATTTTTCGTTCTCCCATAACAAAAACTTATCGCGGGCCTTACCACAAAATGCCCTATTTTTATATTTGCAGAATTTAAGAACATTTACACAATATTTCTATACATATTATACAAAAACAAACAAGGGAAAATATATTTTAAAAAAGAAACAAAAAATTATTTTTTTTCAAAAATATGAAAAAATTAAAAAATAAATAAATGTGCAGATAAATAAAAAACCAAAAAACAAAAGAAGATAAAGGTTTCTCGTCGTCTGCTCGCGCGATTACATCCGCAAATAAGAGTGATTTCCAATATTGTATTAATATAGCCAAAGCAATGTATATATATATATATATATATATATATATATGTAATAACAGGAGAACCAATGATAACATCCCTGTTATCATTAGTTACAATTAGCTTAATTAATTCAGTTGTGAACCAATTATTCCTTCATTAGTTTTATTTACGGGTAGGCTGGTGGCTGTAACATTCCACATCCACTTTCCGCAAGGGAGGGGGTGGACAAAACACCGGATGGTTCCGGCACATCTTACATTACATCTTACAGCAAGAGTGATACGAAAACAATCGCTCCTGGATTATATACTAATAGAAAAGGAGGTGAAAATGCTCGACTCGTCCATATCTTGTAACTCTACGCATTAAGCAAAATCATTTAATGCTTCCTAATATGGAAGTGAAATAGGGAAAGATTCTAAAAACAACTCTGAGTTATAAATCTAATTATTATTCATTGGTATGTTTTCAGCCTTGAGTCCCAAAATAGAATATCTCTATACCTATTCTTCACCAAAGACATTTTATTAAAAGTGTTTTAATGGTTTTATTAATAAAAAAGTATTTATAATTTTGTATTACATAAGTATATATATAATATGTCATAAAAGTGTTTGAATTAGTAGTCAATTACTTTTTTTTATAAAATTTTCAGAATCAAAACCATGGCTTCTTTCAAACTACACATTGAACGAAGTTTGAACAACTCATTAATTGATCGATACAGAATTTTTACATTATTACCGAGAACAATATAATCTCGCAGTAATGCTTCTAAGCTGAATAGCCCTTCGAAATTAGTTTTCATCTAATTTACTCTTTCGGATGTTTTCTTTGTATACATTAATCTGGGGATATTATATTATTCAATAAATTCAGGAAATTAAGCTTTGCTATCTAAGAGATAGAGAAGGAAACTTTCGATGAGAAGATTAGATTTTAAATAGATTTTGGAGCTGGGTAATAAGAAAATACCGTAATTAGAAGAAAGAAAAATGAATTTTTTTCTAGTTTGTAAATAGATTATTTGGGAAAAATGATTAATAGCTATTGAAGAAAATATATCAGCGGGAAATAATTATTAATTTTTTATAAATTTATGATCTTGAAGAAAGAGAATTTGATAAAATGTTATTCTTTTAAGAAAATGTACTGTAGGAAAAATAGCTATAATTTAAAAACGAAAATATATTTCACTTCACAAGATTGTTTAATGTTTGACAAATATTATATTTTAATGTTTGATATTTAGCAGTGTTTAGTGTTTGACATTTGATATTCTTAACATTACTTAGTGTTTGAGATTTGAAAACTTTTAGATTTTGTTAAAAAATTGAACTTTGTGACGAAGTAAAATACAGCGTTTGATGGCTTCGAAATATTTGTTTACTGCTATAATTTATAAGTTTTAGAAGTAATAACAAAATAAAAATTTAGAATTTATAATTAATGATATATATGATTCTAAAATGAAAAATATTTTGCTTTTCANTGACATTTGATATTCTTAACACTATTTAGTGTTTGAGATTTGAAAACTTTTAGATTTTGTTAAAAAATTGAACTTTGTGACAAAGTAAAATACAGCGTTTGATGGCTACGAAATATTTGCTTACTGCTATAATTTATAAGTTTTAGAAGTAATAACAAAATAAAAATTTAGAATTTATAATTAATGATATATATGATTCTAAAATGAAAAATATTTTGCTTTTCAACATTATTAAGTTTGACAATTTATATTGTTTATTGTTTTCAATAGGTAGTTTTATATAGCGTCAAAATATTTACTTATTATAATTTATAAAGCTTTAGAATTTAAGTTATAAATTATTGTATTATAAAACTGCTCGCAATTTTTACACATGCTTTTGAATAAAAAAATAAAGTATACATGATTTTAAAATGAAAAAAATATTTTGTTTTACAGCATTTTTAAGCACAATTCTCATTGTATATAGTTTTTAAACGTTGTATCAGATGGCTTCAATATATTTGCTTATTTCTGTAATATATACTTCAGAATTATATGTTATAATTCATCGAATTATAAATGCAAGTGGTTTCTACAAAGATTAAAATTAAACCATGCGTTTATCAGATCATAAGTAATAATTTAAATAACTATATAAAATGATGTGGATCTAGTGGATTGTGATTATATTTTGGCAAAACTGTTGCACATATTTAATAGCAATATTAGAATAAAATATTTATCTTAAAAATTTGTATTCTTAAATGGAAAAATGTAGACTATATATGAAATATATAGTCTACATTTCTTTTTCATATCTATGTATGAAAATGCCCTTTTCATCTTATTTCTCCTTATGAAAATGCCCATTTCATATTATTTCTTCGTATGAAAATGCTCATTTCATCTTATTTCTCCGTATGAAAATGCCCTTTTCATCTTATTTCTCCTTATGAAAATGCCCATTTCATATCTATATAGGCCTTTTCATATCTATATATGAAAATGCCCTTTTCATCTTATTTCTCCTTATGAAAATGCCCATTTCATATCTATATATGAAAATGCCCTTTTCATCTTATTTCTCCTAATGAAAACGCCCTATTCATCTTATTTCTCCTTATGAAAATGCCCATTTCATATCTATATAGGCATTTTCATATCTATATATGAAAATGCCCTTTTCATCTTATTTCTCCTTATGAAAATGCCCTTTTCACTCATTCACTCACTCATCATTAATTCTCCCTCTCCCCTCGTAGTTAGAAAGCTAAAATTTGAAACATGCGTTTTTGTGAGACTAATAGAAAAAATTAAATAAGTTTCAATTGGTTATTTTACTATTAGGGTAATTAGGGAGTAATTAGACTTATTGACAGCAATGCTATGCTACGCCTTTTTACCAATACTGAAATTTCAAGCTTGAACATTGCGTTTATTATCAGATGAAAGGGAAAACTAAAAAAGTTTCACTTCGGTATTTTAAAATCATCTGGGTAATTACCTATTTTGAAAGTCATGCTAAGTAAAAGTTAGCCCCAAAGATAGATGAGCTCAAAATTTCAACCACGTTTTCCTTTTCATGTAAAAATAAAAACTAAAAAATTTCATTAAAATATTTTGTAGTTATAGGGGTAATTAAAAAGTAATTAGCCTAATAATGTCTTTACAACGGCAATACATAACAATAATTTTCTTTTTAATGCAAAATTATGTCTCTTTATCAAGTTATAGATCTATAGATGTAAAACCCTTCTCACTCATTCATCACTAATTCTCTCACTTCCTATGAAATTAGAAAGAT